AAAAAGAAATTGTAACTATGGGTGGTGATGGATGTTAGCCTTATTGTGGTAATCATTTCACAATTTGAATCATTACATTGTACACCTGAAACTAATATAGTGTTATATATTAATTACATCTCAATTTAAAAAAATGATTTTTAATTAAAAAAAAAGAAAAATTCAAGTAAACCTTACAGAATGCCAAACACATAATACCCATTTATTTTGGGAAATTAGGACACAGGCAACAACTTGTCTTTCTTTGGTGGTCTTAAATGAAGTTTCTTTTTATCCATAAAATTACACTCTTTTTATTACACACCCTTAGGTGTTTTGTTTCTAGATATTTAGATCAAACGAATGTGGTTTCTATCCTAAATCGTGGTGCTGGATGTAAGATGGTGAAAACATCACTTGGAGAGTTTTGTAGATGATCCCTCTAAGTTTGTTCTCTTAATTGTATGTTTGTGTTTTTGAAGAAAGGGAAGATAGTAATATTGCAAGTGGAGTTTAGTGTCCTCCAGAGAGTTTGGAGAGCAGACTAGATATCACATTAACAGACTCATCCAGCCTTTCACGGCTGTATGCTCACCTGCTCAGTGACACCTGGTCCGAATTCCACCTTCCTAGAGCTGGGAACATAGTCAACTCCTGGAGTGGCAGAAGCTGGGTCCGAGGGACGCGTAGCACACCAGACAGATGTGAAGGTTGAAAGGTCAGTCCCATGGCGGATAACTGGGATCTTCACTGCTCCTGAAATGAGATTCATAGATTCCCAAGGTCAACTTTGACCCAGAAAATCAATGGTACTTTCCCAACATGTTCTCTTTCTCAGCAGCAGCAGTTTTATCCTACTGGCCTGTCTACTCTAACCTCAGCGACGCTTGGTGCTCCCTCTGAGGAAGGCTGAGGTATCACCATCCTTCTTTTTGCCAACACTGAGATTAAGAGCAGACCTAGAGGAGGGACTCATGCAGGTTGTGCTGGAAAGTAGCCCTTAGGGGAAAATGATTTTGTGGCTTCATAAAGGAGACTGTTCACAGAAGAACAATGAACTGTAGGGGGAAGGATCCATTGGAAAACATTTCAAGCCTATATAGGGAGAAGAAATTCAGACGAGCGCCTCAGGGATGAGCTAGAAAATAGTCAATTAAGGGAAGAACCAGCTATGGGACTCTATGGGGCCTGAAGCTGAATGTTCCTAATTAAATGTTCCTAACTGGTTTGATTTCCCCATTTTGTCTGAGTGGTGCACACATCATTACTTAAACCATATGTGCTTATTGCTTATCTTAGGAATGAAACTCATTTTCTGGTCCATTGTGACATCATATTTCACAGGGTCCTAATGATATACATGTAGATTTTTAGCTGTTTTGACAATCAAGGTGAGAGCAAAGCTACATGAAAACCCATCAGTCACATTTTTCTAGTCAGTTGTGAAATGACATTAGTCATGACTGAGCATTTGGTGTATAGCAAAGGAAGCGGCATTGTAGAAAGGTCTGGGTTCTAAATCCAGCTCTGGCATATTAACTGCTTGATATTTGATGATTTATTTAATCTCTCTGAGTCTCCATGTGCTCTCCTCTATAATGTCATCTTCTCTACAGAAGACTGAGAATGCATGAAATGCATGCTGCTCGGTACCTGGCATTCCATAAGTACTCAAGAAGATCAGTTCCCACTGTCCCTCAGAATATCACCTTCAAAGAGGTGAAAGACCTTGGTCAAGTGGCTCCCATCAGTAGATACTTCTCACAGCTGCTGCCCCTCTGGTAGTATGTCTGCCAGCAGCATGCGGAGGACCCCTGTGCAGCCAAGAGAGGGAAGGAGCCTGGGTGGAAAAATCTGCCAGCCCACTGACTGCTTTGGGCTGTAGTAATATGAATGAGCAAGTTCCACTTGTGAAGACACTGACATTTTAGAATGTATTTGTTTTAGCAGCGAGAAGTATACGAAATCACTTACCTCTATTCTCAACAGATCTCATTCCCCTCCTTTGCAAGCCAAAATGCTTAGCACCAGGCCTTCCCTCTCAACCACAGAGGTCAACCAATGACTGTAAGCCAGATCCCTCCCTTCCATCAGTAATCAGAGAAAGAAAAGTTATTCTTTACCACCTCCCATTCTTGGTTGTAATGCCTAGCATTATATACTGTCTCTGACCAACAGTGATGTCACTGAGGAATGGCATTATCCTCAATTATATCCTTAATTGTCTTAAGGATACTCTCAAACCTGAGAGGAAATCATTCAAGAAAGAGGTCAAGATATGGGTGATGAAACCCCAGAGATGCTCTTTGTTACCTGCATCCTCACTGACAGTGAAAGCCGTGTTGCCCAGGGACACAGTGGAGGCATCATTGGGACCACTGATGAGCACCTTGGCTGATGACACCCTTCCGATGCGGGCATTGTCAGAAGCACCTGCCAGGGCAATCTCAAACACTTCTTCCTCTTCATATTCGCTGTCATCAATGAGCATGACGTCACAGGTGGACATGGTGACACCAGGCCCGAATATCACACGACTGTCAGCAGACCTCCCTCTAGATTTAAAATCAGAGCCCGATTCTAGAGCGTAGAGGCTACTTCCCATAGCTGAGTTAGGGATGGTATAGCAAATCACAGACACAATGCTGCTTGCATCCCCTGAAATACAAAATGGCAAGAAAACCAAAGCATTTGAATGAGTGCTTCTCAAATTCTAAAATCTCTGATAAATTAGTGAGCTTGGTTCCCTCTGACATATTCCACCACTATTCGTGTTCACGGTCTGGCATGAAACCTTCCTGCATTGCAGTCTCTTTTGAGCTTATGAAATAAACCACTCGAGGATTTAATATACCCCAGATACTTCACCAAACAACTTAAAATGGATTTCCTAGTCTGTGAATTTTGTGCTCTGTTAATTCACAAGACTCACTACCCACCATCTAAGACCACAGCGGGTGGAAAGATAAGAGACATATTTGGTACTTTAAGTAGCAAAGTAATTGTGTCCTGAAGGTAGTGCGACGGGCACAGCTCACTGCCTTTCTGAATAAACTTCTGTACTTAAACTCCCAGGGAAAAACAAGCTTGTTTTAAAAAAAGAAAGACAAAACAAAATAAAACTCTCCTTTCTGTACAAATGCCTTTACTTATTAATGCTGCCACCTCTCTGAGTGACGGCCTATTCTGGCCCACTTGCTGGTCCAGAGCAATCGGTGGGACTTGCTTGTTTTCCAAGTGGCACCTCCAAGGATTTGCAATACTTACAGTGTTTGTTACACTAACACCCAGCCAGTAGATTCAATAAAAAACCTGACATTAGCCCCAGTCAGTTTGGCTCAGTGAATAGAGCATCAGCCTATAGACTATTGGGTCCTGGGTTCGATTCCAGTCAAGGGCATATGACTGGGTTGCCTTGATCCCTGGTGGGGGTATGCAGGAGGCAGCCAATCAATGATTCTCTCATCACTGATGGTTCTATCTCCCCCTCTCTCTCTCCCTTCCTCTCTGAAATTAATAAAAATATATTTTAAAAAAATCACAAAGAAAACAAACAAACAAACCCCTGATATCGTTACTTATAGTTGCTGTGTGGTTTTGAATGAAGATTTAATTCCCATGTATTTTAAAGTCTCAATGGTGCACAATAATAAATCCATATGATCTTTGATTTGATTTTTATCCCCTTCAAGAACTGACCTTTAGTTTTTACACAGTTTACTTCTCATCAGAGCTCTATGTGTGACTCTCATGGAAGGAAATCTTTAAACACATATCTTTCAAGAACTAAGATGGGAAATCAGTTTTTACAAACTGTAACTTCCCTCTTTGACCAAGGCTACTAAACATTTTGTGGATTGGGTATTGATTAAGAATCCCGAGTACATGAATATTTGCAAGGCCAAATATAAAGTGTTTTAGTCCCATTAAAGAATAAATGGGTGTGCTAACAGCCTGAGCTACCAAGAGAAGCCTTCTGATAGAACTCACTGGGTAGGATCTTTATCAGGGCTGTGCTGGGGGTTTAAATGAGTTAATACATGTAAAGTACTTGCACATCTGAGTTAATATGGTACATGAGCACTTGGCACGTAAATGGGACTCAATAAACGTTAGCTATTACAAAGCTCCTTGTCACTTTCGGCGCCAACAGACCTTTTCTTTCAATAGGTGCAAATAGAAAACCAGCGCTCTCGTTGACCCGGTAGGTCTTCTTATCAAACTCTAATGTGGGTTCGTCCTCAGTGTCATTGATAATGACCTTCGCCTGGGTGAACTCCCCTAGTAGGGCATATGCTGGCATGCTGAGCTCCACGGTGAAACTCTCCACCTTCTCAAACACGTCATCATCGTTGATGACAATGGTGCAGGATTTGGTGTCCTCTCGCTCATCAAACTGCACCTGTCACAAAGGAAACAACAAAGAGGTAAGCTGTGCCTCAGCTTCCCCTGCTCTGCTCCCCCAGAAGGCCATGGGCAAAGAGGGCCCAAGTCCAGCGAGCACCGAATGAAGCAGCTGGTTTTTCTAGCCCCAACTTTCTGCTGTATCACCTGGAACGCAAGGCTACCTCTTCCCATTCTTCATGTACAACTGGACTGATTTACTGTATAGGGACACGGAGGGTGAAGACATCCCCTCCCATTTAGCGACTGTATTAAAACATGTAGGTAATTGTTCATATCCTGTTTTATTAACTCACTTGAGCAAGAGTCATTTGATTACTTAGTCCTGCTTCCATTTGTGGCAAGTTTAACTGGAAATTCTCTTGAACTTGGAATGTGAAGTTCTAGGCTGACGTTCTGTATTTTTTGTTTTATTTTTGTTTTTGTTTTTTTAGTTTCAAGCTGGGTCAGGCTTTGAAGCTTTATATACATCAGTTTATTTTAAAACATTGAACAAATGCAAGATATTATCCTATTACCATTATCATATAATTGTACAATTAAAACTGACATAGAATCTCAGCTTACTGTATAATGAAGTTTGAATTCAGAAAAAGTTACATTGAGAAAAAACCAGACTGAATTTTAGCTTTAGATTTGACTAAATCCTTTGCAAATGAAACCTATAATGTGAGTACATTTAGCCTGGTACAAAGGAGATAAATTATTATATATGCACTTAATTGTAAACTTACAGGGATATATGGTGGTTTTACTTTACCCCCAAATAAAAGAGGAAGAATTCCTTCAAATGGAATCAGGGCTCTGGATCTGTTCAAAATTGAAAGGGTAGGAAATGGGCTTGGAATATACTTTGTGTAAACAAAAACAAAGGAAACATGTGTAAAAATAGTCATAAACCTCTGAAAACACATAATTTTCATCAAAAGTAAATTGCCATTACTATCTAATCAGCTAATTGATTTTTACTAAACTCCACATTTCAAAACACTCCCAACTAAATGAAACACTCCACAAATCTCTATTTAAGATCTAGAACACACTTCCTTTTATTTTTCCCTGAAAAATAGGCATATATAGCTCTTTTTATTATTTTGTTAAGACTCTTCTAGTGCCTCATTTAAATTTGACATAGTGGTCTTAGCTTAGTTCTGTTGACATGACTCAAAGAGAGCCCACTCCTCTTTATGGTTCCTGTTACTTTATGTTGACATAAGAATAATGAAGTTACTTTGAAAAAACATTTAATCAATACCTAATAAGTGCCAGGCATTGTGCCATACATAAAAGATGACAAAAACAGGGCATTCTGCCATTAAGTCCCCTCCTTTCTCTTTTGCTTTCATTCTCCCCTTTTTCTTTCTCTCACTCCACCCTGACACTGATTACCACCACTGCTCTATATAGAGATGACAAATTTATCTCCCTACCCAGAACTCCTCTCTGTACTCCCTACCAATGTATATAGCTGTCCACTGATGGCTCTAAGGCAACTCACTCTCACCATGTTCAAAAGCAAAGTCAAGATCACCCCCTCACCAAACCTGCTCCTCTATGTGTCCCCTCCCAGCAAGGGGCATCATCATCCACTTTCCCTTCTGCCCCACTATCTAACCCACTGCTTAGTCCTCTCAATTGATGGCTTCCTCATCAGCTGAATCCACCCACTTCTCTCCCCCTTCACTTTATAACTGCAGCTTAAGCTCCCATCATCTCTCACCCAGCCCATCCAAAAGCCTCCCAACTGGTCTCCCCACACTCCCTCCCTTCAGGTAAAGATGGAGAGAAAAGGTTAAAATTCTGAAGGCTGAGTGTAGAACATGATGCCTTGGAGACTTTTTTTTTTTTTTTGTAATGAAGCAAAATGTAGAATGAGAAGCTACACATAACTTAAGCTTTGGCAGTTAGAATGTCAATGGAGTTTATGCAGACCATGAAGAACAAAGTACTGTGAGAACCGAAGATAGGAAAATTACTGAGGAAAGCTGCCAATGGAAAGGAAGCGGGGGGGAATAAAAGAAAATTGGAAGGTGCCACAATAGTCGACAACCTCGTCACAGTCCTTGCAGGCAGTTCAAGAATCAGAGGCCCGCTCGCCCACTTACCTGGCCAGCATACTCCATGTAGTCCTGCTGCCCAGGCTGGGAGCGGACCCTGGAGCTGGAGCTGGCAGTGCCTTGTTCCGTGTGACACAGGACTATGGCGTATTGGTTCAGGTTCCCAGTCCTCTGCACTGTGACGCTGACAGACCCCGCCTTCTCACTGACATTGTAGCTACAAACACACAAAATAGTCGTCTCTGAAATTCTGCCGCTGGGTTGTGAAGAATGCTAGTTCAATGCCAGTGTCTTCTGGTTACTTATATCCTGGTTTTACTGCCGAGTAGCTATGTGACTTTGGGCAAGTAACCCTCTTTCTGTCTCTACTGCTTTGTTGTTGCAGGGGCAACAACAGTATTCATCTCATAAATTCAAAGTATTAAAGTGATGTAGGTCAAGTGCTTAGTTCAGTGCCTGATACATACAGTATTCAAGAAATACTTGGTATAATTATTATTTTTATTATTGTTATCACCACCCCCTTATCAGATGACTACAGCTGGCCCACAGAGTGCTTTGCCCAGAATCCTCTGCTTGCCTGACTCCTTTCTCAAGAATGAAGACACAATGACGCTTGTACCTAGTATGCTTAAAGCTGATGAGGGACCACTGGATGTGGAAGACATTATCTCTGACCACGTTGGGTTTACTGTCTTTCACCAGAAACTGAAAACTATCCATCATCTCATGGATCTTCTCCTCATGCAACACGTAACGAATCAACCCCAAGTTCACATCCTCTGTGAGAAAAAAGATACAGTGCGTTAGCCCGGGGTTACAAAAACAGCCTCATAGCTGTGCACACTGACACACTCAGTCTATTCTTCTAATGGGTCCTGGACAGAACATGTGTTCCAGAGAACAAAAGGGGGTAATAGTCTTAGAAATTACTGCTTCCGCCAGATGCAAAAATAAGATCCTGTAGCTCCGTGTGACAAAAAGCTATATTTATGCACAGGAAATACACTATGCTGTTGTAAATGAGAACTTCCAGGCCTTGGCAAAAAGACACTTCAATAAAGGTCTATGGAATGTTAGCAGCAGATCTAAGAGCTGACAGAGAAAAGTCTTCGACCCCATCCTCTGTGTGCATATACTCATATCCACACCACTCCCTTCTAATAAGGTTCCTTGGAAGGCATGTGTTACTAAGAAGAGCTAAGGTTGGATTAAAACAGCCCCCACACAAGGCACAGGTAACATGGGCTAGGAGAGCACAGAAGACTGAGGACAGAGAGAAAAAGGAAATACGGCACATGAGTCATAACAGGCAGTTTCTCGTAACTGCTCCCAATGAAGCCCTTCCATAAAAGTCAGCTAGATTCTACACGACCCCAAGGGGCGTCTGGGAAACTAAAATACAAAATGGTCTGCTTGATATGATTCAAAGCAGGAAAACATTTCTGTTAAGGAATCTGCTCACATTGATTTTAATTTCTTTGCTGAAGACTTTAAAAAATACCCATAACCCTTAGAGGGCAAACCACACAGGATCACGGATCTCTCATAAAGCCCGGGGGCTGTTTCTGTGGTTTCTTTTTAAAGAAAACCGAGCGTTGACATGATCCCTTCCAGAAAACCTGGCCAAAACCTAAAGCAATTTGGGAGCTGAGGAAGCATGGTAAAGGTGAATTTTTGGGGGGGAGGGGGTTGAGGGGAAAGGGAGTGGGGGCATAATTCAGAGTAACAGGAAAAAAAAATCAGAGACGTAAAATTCCAAAGTTGGATGGTTAAACATTAAAAGATCTGTATGTTTGTATGTAGGTTACTTAGGGGTGAGAGTGGTCGTAGAACAGATTCCTCCTATTTCCCAGTTCCCTGAGGCCCCACCCTGTGTGAAGGTCACGACAGCTCGGCCAGGTTGCAGCTTGTTCTCCACGTGGCCATGCCTGGGGCCCGTAGTGATCTCATAGACAAGTTGCAGGTCTTCCGTGTCCGGGTCCAGGGTCAGCAGTTCTTTCTTGGTGATCAAGTTGGTTGCCTGGAATAGAAACCCATTAAATTTAATTCCTGTTGTGGGAATAAAGTAAGAACAAGACCCAGTGACTCAGATTTAATTCAGCTCAACAATGACTGACTGAGTGCATTTACTGCACAGAAAACTCTGTCAGTATTGAAGAGGCTGTACGGATAAAAGCCAGCCGGCCTCTGCCCTTGATGTGTTCACACTTTATTGGGAAAGAAAGGCTGATAAGCAATGTAGCTGTGGCAAGAGCTATATCGGGAAATTAAAAAAAAAAAGAGTGCTTTGCACTTTTTTGGGAATGGGAGAGATAATTCCAGCTGAACTGGGGCAGAAGAGATTTGAGATGGTGGAATTTGAGCTTGGCCTTTAAAGAAGGCTGGGACTTTGAAAGCATGATACAACACAGGAAAGACGGCCACTCCTGAAAATACAGGAGTCAAATGCAATGCTTGCAAGTGAGTAAGATATATATGATACCCCAATTTTGCCCAGATATACTGCCTATATTTTAGCTCACTCAAAAAATATTTAGAGAGAATCATTGATCAGCTGCCTCCAGCATGCTCCTATAAGCCCGCAACCCGACCGGGCATGTGCCCTGACCGGGAATCGAACCAGGACCTCCTGGTTCCTAGGTCAATGCTCAACCACTGAGCCACGCCAGCCAGGCCTTAACTCAACCAAAAAATATTTAATGAGAGCAAAGGCTTGAGAGAAAAAAGGGATGGTCAATAGTATTAAATGTTTTTAACTCTAGGAAAGTAAGGACATGTAAGTGACCTTTGGACTTGACAACATAGAGGTCATTGGTGACTCTGACAAGAGTCCCTACAGTAGGGTAGGGGTGGGAAGTAGAATTGCAGAGGGTTTAGAAGAGAGTGAGATGGTTCTGAATATGGAAAAAAAATAAATGAAATAGGGCAAAAGAATTGATACTAATTTTGTTTGATATATTTTAAAAATTCTGATAAGTTTGGTGGAAAGCTATAGCATAACACCTACATATAAAAGCATACCTTGTTTTAGTGTGCTTCTCAGGTGCTGTGTGTATCAGAAACTGAAGGCAAGACCCTCCACCAACAAAAAAGGTTATGACTCTCTTTACTGAGATGCCCGCTTTATTGCAATGGTCTGGAACTGAACCCACAATATCTCTGAGGGATGCCTATACAACCAACTAATCAGCTCCATAGGGAAGAGAAAATCTACGTCTTAGAGGGAAAACCACAGGCAAAAGATAGAAACCAGTTCTCAAACTCAACTCAAGAACTGTGTGTGTTTGGGTGGGGAAAAGAATTTAATGCTAGACATGGTTATGGCATATCTTAAAATGACCAAATTGGGCTTTAGGAGAAGGGGAATAAAATTTCTAAAGTATTCCTCTGAGGACATTCACCCACAAAAATACTTCCTTCCCATTAATGGCATATTCCAGATATGTCCCCAAATCTATCTTTCCCTTCTTCTAGTTAACAAACTTTTAGCTGGGCACCTGACTAATCAGCTAGACACTCTATCTCCCAGCGTCCCATGCAACAGATGAGCCCATGTGACCCATTTCTTGCCAAAATAATATGAGTGCAAGAGATGTGTTTAATTTCTGTACCACTTGCTTAAAATATATCCCTTGCTCTTGCCATGGGTAGTGTTACTAAGTGGTTAAAGCAGCCATGGGCAAACTACGGTCCGTGGGCCGGATCTGGCCCGTTTGAAATGAATAACTGGTCCAGTTTAAGAACCCATTGTGGTCCTCGAATCAAAAAGTTTACCCACCCCTGGGTTAGAGGATCACCCCGCACACTGAAGGGTATTGGGTTTGATTCCTGGTCAAGGGCACATACCTGAGTTTCTGGTTCACTCCCCACCCATTGGGGCACATGCAGGAGGCAACCAGTCAATGTGTCTCTCTCACATCGCCTCTCTCTCTCTCTCCCCCTTCCCTTCCTTCCTCCCTCCCTTCTTCCCTCCCTCCCACTCTCTCCGAAAAGCAATGGGAAAAATATCTTCAGGTGAGGATTAAAATATCTGTATATTCCTTGCTCTCTACTTCTCTATTTTCCTCTTCCCATGGACTAAAATACTGATGACTAACTGAAGAGATTAGGGTAACTCCAGTCAACGGCTACAAGGCAGTAAAGGCAGAATGGCAAGAGAGAAGGAACCTGTGCCTCTGAATCATCATGCAGAGCCCTGGACTTCCACCCTGGATGTGAGGGGGCAAATACCTGCTATTTTGTTTGAGCTACTATATTTTGGGAGCCATTGTATAAGAACATGTACAATGTTCTTATACAAACTGAATAAAACTATATACAATCTGAATCAAACCCATGAAGCTCTCCAATCTCAGGAATATCAGCTTACTTAGGGAGGCATAAACATGATTTCAGCTAGAGTTCTTAGTCATAATCTATCATCATGTTCAAGGCTACTGACCAAGCTGGTTAATGTGGAACTGGCCGATGGTGGGGCCTTACCTTGCCATCCATACGCTCCAGCCACTGGAGCCCCAGGTTTGTGACAATTCTCGGAGTGCTGTCATCCACTGGGAGGATGTCTACTCGGAACTGCTGAGGCGCTGCTGTGATAATCTGGGGGCGGGGGGCAAAAAAACTCATCATTCACAGACATCTGAACTGTCAGGTCTGGAACCCTGAAATCAGTTGACACTTCAGAGAGGGAGCTAAGCCGGTTTCCACCACTTGTCACCCTTTGGCCGGAGACTTAGGGAGAATACTGCCTGCTAAAGGGCACTATACGAAGGAAAGCGAGAAACCAGGGGTGCAGGGCGGGGCACTCACCT